GTGAGGCGAGGCGGAGGAGGAGTGTGTGCGGCGGCCGGTGGCGGGCAGAGGTGTGAGTGCCGCGAAGTACTGAGAGGTAGCCGGGCCGGTGGGGCCGCCGCCGCCGCCATGCAGGAAATCATCGCCAGCGTGGACCACATCAAGTTCGACTTGGAGATCGCGGTGGAGCAGCAGCTCGGGGCGCAGCCGCTGCCCTTCCCCGGCATGGACAGTGAGCGTGGGGCCGGGGTCGGCGGGCAAGGGGCGCAACCGACTCGGACCCGGGACCCCATCCCCTCAGTCCTGGGACTCGGACTTGGGAGCCCACCTTCCTCAGATATATGATCCCTTGGGGCTAGTTTAAGACAGTCTTCAGGAGGGCAACACCATGTCCGGCTGTTCAAATAATTACTGAATGAAGGCGGGTATCTTGGATTGGAAATCCTTCTTCCACCCCCACACACCCCTTAACTACAGGAAAGTGCGTTATAACCCCCTTTCCCCCTCCAGCCCCTCGCTGTGATCTCCCTCTTGCTTTCATTAAAACTGGGCCGTTGGAGGAGTCTGGCTGAGAGAAGGACCACCTCTCCCTTTCTGTAGAAGATCCCCAGTTAGACTCTCAAGCTCCATTCTTCTCCTAGGACTCACACTCCTGGGAGCCTGTCCCTCCCTTGTTTTCTGGACTCCAACTCTGGGCCTTTCATTAGACTTTTTGAAATGCAAACGAGTGACACCTTCTAGGATTCCCAGTTCCACCGCCTTTAGGCCGTCCTAGCAAAATCTGCCCGCTCCCCAGAAGTCAAGGAATCGCTTGCAAGCTAGAAAGTAGACACGAAAGCGGCCTTCAGAGATGCTCTCTGTGGGTTTTCAGCAATTCTGAAATGCCTGCTGAGAAAGAAAACTTTGTGAAGCCAGGTTTATCCTGGTAGCCATGGCCAGTGAATTACTGGGTTCATAAGAACAGCTAGTCCTGTGCCCGCTGACTTCCACCACATGCACTCAGCCTGTATTCTCTTGCTTCCGTCGCCTGAACCAGCAGCATTTGTAGAAGCAAAATACTGCTCTTTTAATAATTGTATTGGTTGGTGCTGCAAATTAAGAGCAGTCCTGTTTCTGTGTCTCCAATTATGCTTTTCCCTCCCTAATAGTCTCTCTCTGGAGCCCGTCCCTCCTTAGAGTCCCCATTCATTTGTGTTTCCTGTGAGATCATTTCCTCCCTCTGTCTCACATTAAAGTGCTTGGGAATTAGTCCTCTGGAAGGTCCGAGCACCAGGTAATTTCGGTGATGATCCTGTGCTCTTTGCCCACTCATTCCAGCTCCTCAAAAACATCTTTATTATAGGAGACTTTCAGAAAGCCCTTTGTAATGACTGGTCTTAACATATGTGTCTCATTTTGCAGGGAATGACTGAAATAAGCAACTTTTTTCTTGCTTGATCGGGCCTTGCATTTTTTTGCCAGTCTTATTTCCTGTATCATGAACACTTCATAGGTCAAAGGCCAGAAGGGTTTCCTCTCACCATCTTCAGATGTCACCAGTAGCAATTGCACCTTGCTTTGTTGACCCCTCTCCTTTTCTCTCCTTTCTAGAGTCAGGGGCTGCTGTCTGTGAATTCTTTTTGAAAGCTGCCTGTGGCAAAGGTAAGAGACCCCTGGTTCCTTGATGTTCCTCCTGAGGTGCCTTCTACCACTCTACCCACTAGCACACCTGTAGGCCATTAGTCTCTGGTTTACATTGCTTTCTCCAGAATAGCAGTGTCCCTAGATGATGAAACTGGTTTGGAAAGGCTAGGAACATGATGGAGTATTCTGCCTGAAACCTAAAACACAAGGCTGAACCTGGCTCTGAATCAGTGTTCTCACCTCATTTTCCCTGTGGCCACAAGCTGACCTATGACATGAACAGAAGCTCCTAGCACTGAGATGTTCGGTAACTTTCTCAGGGTCACAGTGTTAGTGACCCAGGGCTTTGTGATTCTACAGTCTACACAGGCTCACTGTTCTCCGTATCCTCTCATCAAAAAAACCCCATAATAGTCTGTCTCGTGGAGTCTTGTTCATACTAACCAGGCCCCCACAGAGGCTGCATGAGCCAGACTATTCATAAGGAGCAGTATTGGCTGGGCAGGACCCTATATATCATACATGGGTTTGGCCATTTTTCTTTCTCTAGGAAAATTTATTTGGAAACTAAATTTGATCACAAGCTTGAATAGGGAGCACAAAATTAGAGCAAGGTTGGTTTTAATGATTGATTTTGGCACATTTTTGGTTCTGTAACTCAGTCATTTACCTGTGAAATAACAGACCTGCCAGATAGGTCAACCAGGTCGACCTCCAGCTTTCTAGTTGGAACATCATCATCCCTGGGGTCCTGGTCGCATTCCCATGTCCTCCTTGCTCAGTAATTCTGCCTTTCTGACCTGCATCACCTGTTAGCAAGCTGTCCTTAACATGAGCATTATAACTATCTCTTTGTTAACAAATACATAGCCACTAGCCACATGTGACTATTCAAATTTAAATCAGTTAAAATTTTAGAAAATTAAAAATGCAGTTCCTCAATCATACTAGTCATATTTCAAGTATTTAATGTCATATGTGGCTTCTGGCTGCCATATTAGACAGCATAAATATAGAACTTCCATCATTACAAAAAGTTCTGTTGGACAGGGCTGTCCCAAATCTTTCCCAGTCACAACCTCATTCTGGCCAGGCCTTCCCAGTATTCCTGCCAGGCCACTACTTAGAAATAGGACCTTCCCAGGGTATGGCTCTGTCCCATCTGTAAGGATGATCACTAAGGTCCTGCTACAGAAGGCAGACCTCCCCCAGTTTATATGCAATGCATCTCTTCAGTTCTGTAGTTGATCTTCTTTCTTAGTTATTGGAGGCTAAGCAGGTACTTTTAACTAAAGATGGAGCCCACCTGGAGTCCAGGCTTCTGCTGGTGGTCCTCTTTACCTCCTATCTTTTAGGGCTGTGTTTCTCAAACCCCAGTCTTTCTTTAACTAGCCCTACAATTTTTGCCATGTCCATGTACCACTGGAACTATTCTTTAATTAAATAAAGGAATAAACTCACCCCTCCCCCATACACTGTTGGTCTTGTAAAACCTCCATCTTACAGTAAAATCTGTGAAATCATGATGTTTTAGTTAGATTTTACTAAAACACATTAAAAGTATGTAACTATTTAAATTTAAAATGTGTGCCCATGTACTACCTAAAATCACACTGCCTTCTCCCAGAGCAGCCACCACCTTCAGGAACATTCTGCTTTTGGGTGCTTCAGGGAGGTGTGGGGAGAAGGCACTTTGGCTCCCCAGGCCCAATGCCCCTGGGCTTAGGGCTACATCTCTCTGTCTTCCTCTGCAGGGGGCATGTGCCCATTTCGCCACATTAGTGGCGAGAAGACAGTGGTATGCAAACACTGGCTGCGGGGGCTGTGCAAGAAAGGGGACCAGTGCGAGTTCCTCCATGAGTATGACATGACCAAGATGCCTGAGTGCTACTTCTACTCAAAGTTTGGTAAGGCAGTTTGGTAAGGTGTGTGGCCAGGTCCCTCCCTCCACCCAGAAACCCCCCAGCATCTGTAGCCCTGGGGAAGCTCCACTGAGAACCAAGACCCAGAGGAGTTAAGCAGCTGCTCGGGCACCCACAGTATCTACCATCTCCCATCTTTCCAGATTCATATGAGAACCTTAGGCATTGCCCTCCAACCTCGGCTGGTCCATTAGTCATGGGAAATTATTGTTATTCTCTAATAATACCTACCTCTGTGTAGTGCTTCTGTTTTTTGAGCGCTTTCAGGTACTTTGGGAATTTGAGACTAATGAGTCTCCCAGTGGGTGGGTGAGCAGTGGAGCTGGCTAGAGGCCTTGTTTCTGCCCAAGTCAACCTTCTCCCTTAAATCAGCTTCTTCTTATTGTGTGGCAAGTGATTGCCACCAGGCCAGAGTTGGTTTCCTTCTCTCTGGGCATGTGATCCCAGGTGGTAGCTTGTCAGCCTAACTAAAAATAGCAAATTTGGGGAGCTGTATTCTGGTGGCAAAGCGCCATACTCTTCACCTTGAAACAGATTGCCTTGATCCCTACTTAGAGAACATGTGGCCTAAGTTGTCCTGAGTGAACTTCATGAAGAAGCGGGGACAGGCTGAGGGCAATGGGGCTGACACAGGGCTCCACCAAGCTGTTGCTCTCTCTGATGGAACTAGAATCTCCGGGCTCTCTGCCCTGAGCGAGGCTGACCAGGAAAAATCATTGTTGGTCTGGACAAGGGCTAGTTCTAGCCTCAGGACTGGGCAGAAGCCAGGAGAGAGACTGGAAGCCTGCTATACTCTGTGGTGGACCGAGGAGTGCTATTCCTGCTGCACACTTTCAAAGCACTGTTGTCAGAGGAGATGCTAATTATTACAGCAGCTCAACAGGCTTAGCCTGCTGGCTTATTAATTAGAGTTGTGGCTTTTTTTTGTAGAGGTAGCACAAGCTGAAAAGTCAAAGCACAGGCAGACAAAAATAGGACTCAGACTTCCTAGCTTCCCCCCACCTCCCCCGGAACCAGCACTGAAAGAAAGCAATGGCTTCTCCGTGGGATCTTTCTCCCATCTGGCCCCAAAGGCAGGAGCCAGCCCTTAGGGCAGCCTCTCAACAGTGCCTCTGCAGGCTAACCTGGGTTCCCTACTGCTAATGGCCCTGGGTGCAGCAGGCCCCCCTCCAACCCCATGCCTCTGTGACAAATCCCTGCCTGCTGTTCCCCTGCAGAGCCTGACCTAGTACAAACATATTATCTGCAGCTCTTGTCACCTGTGACACAGGTGAGGGTCCCCCTTCTAGGCCCTGAAGAAACAGTGATGAAGAAAGACAGGCCCGTTCCCTGCCCCATGGTACTTTTGCTCTAGTAGCCCAGGGGAAGAGGCAGCTGATATGCCAGTGAGACAAATAAAGAAGAGAATTGTGCACGATAAGTGCTCCGAAGGAAATAAACAGTGATAGAACCACATGAGGAATCCTCTTGAGGTAGAATGGTCAGAAAGGCCCTCTCTGAGGAGATCTGAAGGCTAAGCAGGGGCCAGTCCTGGCAGAGGACTGTCTTGGAACAGCTAGGGGGCCATTGTCGCTAGAGAGGAGGAAGAGACTGGGCTAGGTCACATAGAGACTTATGGGTCTGGTAAGGAGTTTGCATTTTCTCAGATTGGGCTTTCATGTGTGACATCGATTGGAAAGGAAGGGCAAGCGTGGAGGTGGCTGAACTGTAGCTGGGTGAAAGATCATGGTGGCAGCTGGGCCAGTTGCTCCTAAAACAGCTCCTCTCATAAAGGCTTCATTGCCTTCTACTACAGGGACCCAGCCTGAGTTCCCAAATCTTTCCTACTTTTGTCCTAAAAGGTATGCTCCTCAGACCTTTCCCCTGTTCCAGCTTGTACATGTGAAAAGCTGATCAAAATAGAACAGTAATTTCCTGGCCTCACCTGGTACGTTTGCATACCTGGGCACGCCACAGTGCCTGGGACACCCTCTTTGGGTAAGGGATGGAGCCATGAGTTATTTAATGAGTGTGTGTATACCTGTGCCCAGCTCTGTCAGTGTCATTTACCCTTGTGACAGGATGGACACATATGAGGGGAGAACCTTCACAGCGCACATACAGATCAGAAAACTGAGGCTCTGAGGCACTCTAGAGTCTTGGGGTTTGCCAGTGCAGGACTGGACACCAGAACCACCTGGCCCTCTGCTGCACACTAGGCCCTGGCCTTTGGAGAAACCAAGGGGGGTCTGGGTCCAGCTCTCCCGGGGCTGTCCTGGGTGGACGCATGTCTGGGTTTCCCTGCAGGGGAGTGCAGCAACAAGGAGTGCCCCTTCCTGCACATCGACCCTGAGTCCAAGATCAAGGACTGCCCTTGGTACGATCGTGGCTTCTGCAAGCATGGTAGGTGCTTCCTATGCCCACATGACCCTCTACCTGTCCTGCCTATTCCAGCAAAACATGGTGTCAGGCATTTGGGGCTAGTGAGACTTTTTTACACCTTCAGCTCACTTGAGCCTCCCAAAGCTCCTATGTGGACTACACACTCACCTGCATTTTCAATAAAGGAAACTAGTATTTGAGAAATTATGTGTCCTGCTCATGGTCCCCTGAGAATAGGAGGCAAAGCCAGTATTTGAAGCCCTGCTCCTGCTCTTTGCGCCCCAGACAGTGGTCTGGCCAGGGCTTTGACTGGCAGAGGGGCATGAAGACATCTCCCAAAGAGAGAATGGTCTGAATCACTTGATGCTTGGCTCCACAGGTCCCCTATGTAGGCACCGGCACACGCGGAGAGTCATCTGTGTGAATTACCTCGTGGGATTCTGCCCAGAGGGGCCCTCGTGTAAATTCATGCAGTGAGTAGCCAGCCCCTATTTCCCCAACACCCACAGTGTTCTTGCCCCAGGCCCCACTGCCCTATTCATCTTTCCTGGGTTCAGTTGGGCTTTGGTCCCTGGGTGGTGGTAGCACGGTGCCTGGGGCAGGGATGGGAGGTTGAGAAGGGACCCCAGCTGCTTCCTAAGCCCAGAGGTGGTTCTGCCTACACCAGCAGTTAAATTTTATTGGACATAGCCATCAGGGAATCTGATGAAAGCTATGGGCCCTGTGCTCCAGAAAACTCATGCACATGTAGCCTTGCATATTATTTAGGGCCATCAGGTTAAGAACCTGTGCCGTAAAGGAAGGGTATGGTAGTGTCAGGGCCTCCTATATGAAGATAGTGACCTTGGGGTTTCACATACACTAGTTCATGTAACTCTCACAAGTGTGAAAAGAGAGTGTTCTGTTTCACACATGAGGACACTGAGGCAGCTCAGCCACTGGCCATGGTCACATGGTGGTAGGAGGTGGTACCTGCTCAGAGGCAGGTCTGCAAACCTCCAAAGCCAGGTTCTTGTCCAGCGGGGCTCAGTGCTCCTCTCCTGGGCCTCAGTGCACCTGTCATTTGGGGCTTTGGGTGTTTGAGGGGATAGGGTAGCACTGAAATCACAAAGTAGCCTCCCCCTCCTGTGCTGCCTCCATCCACACTGCCGACACCTGTACAGGAGCATGGTGTCCTGGTTGCTGCCACACGATGAGCAGGTGGCTGGTGCTGTTGACTTGGTCCTGCTCCCTAGATGAGAGCCCGGGAGCCTGCAGGTAGCCCAGGGGTTCCTGCTTGGGCGGGCAGGCATGTCCTCTGCAGAGTCTGTGTTGTCAGAGAAGGTCTGGTGCTTGAGTTAGACCCTACAGCAAAGGGTATGTATTGGAAGGGGCTCTCATGCTCAAAGCCCCCCATAGAGCAGGCTCGTGCCTTCTGATGATATCAATAGCTGTTTCCTTCATTTCTCTGAGCAGCACTTTCCCCAAGTCTCAGCCAGTTATAGGCAGAGCTGGGTCTGAGCCCAGGCATATCAGTTCTGTTCTTCCCACTGTCCTGTGGCCTCAGGGGCAGAGCTGAAGGCCAACACTTACCCTAAGTCCAGGTGGTTTGTGTTATGTACTTGGGTAGAGACTGGCCATGATATCCCCTGGGCCAGAATTTGAGAATACCACCTGGCCTAGCTCCTCTTTCATCTCTTCTTCTCTTGTTCTCGTCCCCTCTGGTTGTTGGGTGACCAGCCCTCGATTTGAACTGCCAATGGGAACCACCGAGCAGCCTCCATTGCCGCAGCAGACACAGCCTCCGACAAAGGTACCATGTCCTGGTCCCTCCTTGGCCCTATGGCACTGCTGGCCCTGGCAATGCCCTTGCAGCAGAGAACTCAGTGCCTGCATCAATGCGTGGTCTGTCATAGCCCCAGCTGGAGACCTTGTGAGGGCTCAGGAGGAGGCAGGACGGTCACCCTGAGTTCCAGCAGAAAATTCAGGGAGCAAAGCAATTTGCATCTGCCTCTAGATATGGAGGGCTATCTGCTGGAGCTGAATGCCTGGCGAGTGCCTGGGCGGCTCAGCAGTACCCTCCTTGAGCCAGCCTTGGGAGCCAGAGTGGAAGGCAGCATGAGCTCCACATGACTACTGCACTTGCTTCTGGTTCAGGCCCTTTACTAATGGAGAAACTGACACTCATGGAGGGAGGGACTTGCCTGAAGTGCCACAGCTGGGCAGGAGCAGAGCTGAGAACAAAACCAAGGCTGGCTAGTTCTCTGGCCAGTGCTGTGATCACTCTGTGTGGATGTTCACAACTGTGGGGAATGCTGGGAACAGAGGGCTGAAGGACCAGCTGGCTCCTGTTTTCTAGACAAGGGTCCTACAACCCAGCAGTTGGCTGATTCCCCTCAAGCAGGAGGAAAGAGGGAACTGTCATGGACAAATTGGAATCTGCAGCAGCCCCCCCAAAACCAAGGGCACCCTGGGTTTGGTTACTGGAGTTGGGGTTTGGGAAGCCAGAGGAAAGACTGGCCAGTGTGCTAGGCAGGGTCTCAACAGGCTGAATAAACCCACCTGTTCTTGAGCCTTACGCTTACCTGGCTGAACTCTGAACCTGTTGCCAAAGCCCCACCAGGCCCTCCTCACTTCCAGAGGCTGAGCAGCCAGAAGTGTCCATACTTATAACACTGACCACCACCCCCTCGGAGGTTATGGGGCAGATCAGATAGAATTTCTTATCAGCAAAGCTGGGAATTCTTGGATGTGGGTGCAGCCATGACAACCTGGGGTTTTCTAGCTCAGGGTTCCTGCATTTATGGAGGCCAGAGCCAGAAACCACTTAGTTGGGAGATGGCCTTGCTGTCTAGTCCCCACCCCAGGAGTCTCCATCCCCCTTGCTCACATGACTCCCTAGTGGAGGGCCCTCTCAGCCCCTAGACCGCAGTCCAGTGTGTCAGCCTCCAACTGTTTTTCTGTGACTGTTGCTCGCCGTGTAGGCTGCTAAACATCTGGCTGAACCAAGCGTTCATCCTGACCTGAAGCTAGAACCTCAGAAACAAAAGTAAGGCCTGCTCATGCCCTTGCCCCACTGCCCCAGAGACCTCCGTCTCTTTGGTGTTTTGTTTTCTACTTTTATTTTTCGTTTCTGTGTGTCTGCATGGTATTTTTCGGGCAGCAGCTTCTGCCATCATCAGCAGATGTTTCTTTTCTGCCTGCTTTCCTGAGTGGGGCCATGGAGGAAGCCCTTCCTGCTGGTCATGCGGGAGCAGTCCCGCCCTCTTTTTTCCTGTCCCCATTGGTAGTCTGCGTGCACGCGTTTTCTGCAGTAAAACCGTGTTGTGTAACTCTTTCCAGCAAAGTAACAATCCGCCATTACAAAGGTCGTCCTCCTTGATCCAGTTAACGAGTCAGAACTCTTCTCCCAATCAGCAGAGAGCCCCACAGGTCATCGGGGTCATGCAGAGTCAAAACAGCAGTGCAGGCAACCGGGGACCCCGGCCTTTGGAGCAGGTCACCTGTTACAAGGTGAGTCTTGGGTTGGGGGCTGGGGAGGGGTCTTCACAGTCAGTGGCTGTTCCCTCATTCCATAAGTAGTTAATTTTGAAAAATGAAAAATCTTTGTTTTTGCTGATTGTAAAAGTGGGCCATTATGGTGGGCTAGATGCTATCCTACTTTCTTCCACAACACACCAAGGCCAGGTGAACAATTAAATAAACAATGAATGGAGTGTACTTGCAAAAAATGGAGGGAAATCTGTCAGAGGCTAGGAGCAAAGTAGAAGCATGAATCCGGGGACACGGGTGAACCCTGAAGCCTCTGGTTGTCCATAGATCCTGCGTAGGCACACTCAAGGGAAAGGTTCAAAGCTTTACGCCTGCACAGAGAAATCAGAATACCCTTCTCACCGCCTACACACACATACATAAAATAGGACACTCAGAAAAAGAGTAAATTTTTTTTTTTTAATCCTCTATATTTTTTCCACTGCTTTTCAGAGACAGCAGAAGGGGGGGAGAGAAAGGGAGAGAGAGAGAGAAACATCAGTGTGTGAGAGACACATCGATTGGCTGCCTCCTTGACGTGTCCCACCTAGGGCCAGGATCGAGCCTGCAACCAAGGTACATGCCCTTGGCCAGAACCGAACCTGGGACCCTTCAGTCCACAGGCCTACAAGGAGTAAACTTTTTAAAACCCCACTAGGAAACTTGTCATTCTTGGCTCTAGATGGGAAGGGGTGAGGGGAGTCCCTTAAGAGGTTAGAGTCACTGGCAGGCTCTTTCATGAATTTGGACCTGTATTTGTGCCCTTGGTGAGGGCTAAAAAGCTAGTTTTCTCATCTAAAGCAGCCCCAGATGGGCTTCTGGCACCTGGCTCTTTGAGGAATTTATTTTCAACCCAGATCACACAGAATTCCCACAGCTAGAGTTCTGAAGAATGAGTTCACAATTCAAAATCACAAAACATAGAAAAAAACAAGCACCATCAAGTGAGTCAGAAACAACCAATAGTAAAACTAGACTTACAAAGACTTCAGATTGGGGACTATTAGAAGAAATACAAAGTTAGTACAGGCTTTTAAAAAAAACATTGATATAGAAGTGTTTAGGATACAAAGTGAGTATTGTCCTTTACTCCCACCTTTTCTAAAACAGCCACTGTATTCAGTGTATTCTGTTCTCATGATTTTTGGTTTCGGCACCCCTTTACACTCCAAAACCCCTAAGGGAGAACCCCACCAGGGACTTCTGATTTCCACTTGGAGAAATGCCCTCCTAAACTTTTATTCATGCAAACACAAGGATAGTATGTATTTTAATGTAAATGGGACCCTAGTATATATAATGTTCTATACTTTTTCATTACAATATATTGTAGATCTATATCGGTGTATGTAAATTTAATCTTTTTCAGTGACTGTATAATATAACCGTAATTTATTTTATCAGTTCTCTGTTGGTACACAATTAAGTTATAATTTTTACAGCTAAAAACAGTGCTGAATATAATACTTAAGACATTTGTGAGCTCTTGCCTGATGTCAGTAGAATCCATGCCTGCAAGTAGAAAGCCTGAGTCAAAAGGCGTATATTTAAAATGCTCATAGAAAAGCTAACCCACTGGGCACTTCCCATGGCCATCACTCACTGAGCACCTGCTCTGTGCCAACTCTGCTGAGGAAACAGACTGCTGCTGTTCTATCCTGGGAGGGGTTTTTGTTCTCAAGGGAAGGGAAGGCTGGGGCCCAAAGACACTAAAGTTAAAAGTGCACATGGATTCAAGGAAGGCCTCAGATTTCTAAGCCTGAGCCATAACAGGTGAGGAGAGTACAGAGTGGGATGTGAAAGTGAGGCGAGTGGGGGTACCTGTCCTATGCAGAGCAGTTTCCAACCAGTCAGTACTCAAGTACAGTGAGGAAACTTAGGTTTCCTGAAGCAGCATAGCTATCATCTTGTCTCCTGTAGGACTCTTCAGCAGGGCTTCTATGAAGCAAGCTCTCATAAGTCCTGGAACCTTAGAAAGCTGGGTTGGGGGCCTGCCAACCTTTTCTTCCCAGGGGCACTTTATAGTTACTGTTAAAGATGTCTTGTGGGAATCCTGGACTCCCCAGGATCAGCTGTGGAGGCTGATGGACATGCAAAGTACCATGAATGGGCCCACACAGTTCCTCCCTCTGGTCATCACATCAGCTAAAGGGCTAACTGGCAGCTACACAGGCCACTTGTCCACACAGATCACATGTACAGATAAGAAATACTTGAAAACATGAGGACAGCAGGCTCGGGAATAGAGCAGCCAGTTCTGGGCAGTGGTGACCAAGTAGAGCCCTGCACTCCAGGCCGAGGAAGCAGGGACCAGAAGGGCACTTCATGGGTTAGTGCAGAGTGTGTGCCCCTACCACCTCCACACCCCTTCGTTGTTTGGTTCTTGAGGCTGCCATTCGCTTCCTTTCTTAGAATTCTGCTTTTTGAGCAGCAACAAGACAATGAAAGGAAGTTAGGCAGGGACTGGATAATCAGAGCCAGGACAGATCAGGATCAGTGCTAGATTTTTGAGGTGATTTTACCAGGTCTATTCATCCAAGCCTAATTGTCCCATCTCTCTGATAATGTGACTGAAACCTGTCCCCAGGGGTAGCTTAGGCAGATGTGCAAGAACCAGAAGGGAAAATCTGGGTGCAGCCCTCACTCCACAGCAGTGAATCCCTCCCTGCATTGGGGGAGGAGCTTGGTGGCTTCTCTCTCTCCTTGTTCCCTCCCATCTCCAGGAAGTCCCAGAATGGTGCCTCACAGGTAAGTGACTGGTCAGCCATGCAGAGGGGCTTCATTCTTGGACAGGTCGGGGAGCTCTGGTGCCCATGGGCCTCTTCCTACCACCCACTGTGAGAACCCTTCTGTGGGCAGGCCCCATGTGCCCAAGGGGCTAAAGGAGCTCTCTACTATGTGCTCTGAGATCCTCTGGCTGCAGGAGTCTCTCTCCCCCATCTGATGAGTTGTTGGCTGCAGTTTATATACCACCGTACCTTCTATAGCTTTTCCCTTGTATTTCAATGAATCTCTGAACCACTGAGAATTTCAGTCTCCATTCCCAACCTGGTATTTGTGGGTGCTGCCTTAGTTGAAAATTGCATTTGAAAAGTGTTTTTGTTTTTTGTCTTCTCTTTCCCTTCCTGCTGTTCCCAGTGTGGTGAAAAAGGACACTACGCCAACAGATGCACCAAAGGGCACTTGGCCTTTCTCAGTGGACAGTGACAGCAGCTGGAGACAGCTCAGAGCAGCCCAAAGGGCCCCGTTTTGGGGACCACTCTGGGCCATCCTTGGGATTGTGCATTTAACTGTTCAACGCCAGTGTTAGTGCAACTCTGGCTGGAGCTGGCAGGCAAGCACACTGGGGTTTATCAGTCCGAGGGACTACATCTGTCAGTTTCCCTACCAATTTGCTATAACCTCTTTTTTAAAAAGGGGGACATGTGCTCCAGTTCTCTCCCTCAAGTCAGCATCATGTTTGTCTAGGCATCAACATCTGTCTGGGACTCCTGAACACCACCCTGGAGAGGGGAGGAAGTTATAGGGAAGAGCTTGTGCTAAGCAGTTGCGTATGAAAGACGGCCCTTCCCCTCGGGCCTCATTAAACACCAGCTCTTGGTGACCCCAGGGACTGGTGGGTCATTAAAACTGCGGCTAGGTCATGCCTGCTTCCTCCATGTCCTGCTGAATTCAGAAGCTGTGCCTATCAATGTGATTTGAACGAGGCAGCCCTTCAGGGCAAACTCAAGTGGGCTTGTTGCCTCAGCCTGGTCCTGTTCCAAGGGGGCAGCAATTGAGGGGTGGAGGGCTCTCAAGTGTGAAGGTCTTTTTCCTCTGGGCTTATTTTCTTGGGGCACATGCTTGACAGTGTTTAAGGTATACCTGAAGCTGGGGCTGCAGACCACCACCTGTGCACCTACCTCCTGCCCCATCAAGCATCTGTACTGTCTGTCACTCAGACCTTTTGGCCTATAGAGACCACCTTAAGCCTGGAAATGTGAAATGATCACCTGGAACCTGCTGGGCAAGGGGGCCTATCCAAGTTCAATTATAAGAACAATTTTTATGAAGTTGATTAAAGCTTGTTTTTTAACTTGTGTCTCATTCCTTCAGAGATTCCATGCCAAGGAGAGGATCTTGCTACTGGCTGCACTAGCTGCCTGGCACGAAGTTTTGATACTGGTACCTGCTTTTCCCCTTTCAACAAATGAATTTCCAGGAGGGAAGTAATGCTGCCAAGGCATTTTTACTGGCAGCTAGAAAAGTCTGAAAGCTTGGACTTTGAAACATCCACCTGGCAGGTCTCTATCTCAAATGTTGAATGACATTTATTCAAATTTGTGTCTAGGAGATAATGAGCCATAGCCATCTCACCCCCTTATACTCCATGCAGTATATAGGCTCACCATACACCCCTGAACAAGAAACCAGTCTGGCCTTCATGTCACTTTACTGAAGGCTTTTGATGATAAGGAATAGTGCTGGATGTGGGCCATCAGGGCCTGTGCTTTCCCTCCCTTGGATCATCCCACTGAGCTTCTCTCAGGCATATACCCTGGAGTAATGCAGAACAATTGTAGGGAGGGCATTCTTAGGAACACAAGGTTTCTGCTTGATACTGTAAAAGTGTCAGGTGACAAAAGGCCAAAAGTGCTTAGGGCACTCAAGGCAAAGAGCAGGAAAACACTTGAAAGGTGTTTCCTTTCAATGTCAGTACCACCCCACCCCCACCCCCACCACCCAGGAGCTGGGACAAAAATCCCAAAGTGATGTAGGTGCCCAAGAAGGCTTCATGAGTCAAAGCCCTGGGCTGTCTGACAGGCTCCCTTTGGGAGTAGTAAGGCAATCTCATTCCACCTTGCACAAGGGGACCTCCTGGAGTGGGGGAAAATGGCCAAACCAATGAAGCAGCCCAGTACCAGCCATCTTTTATTAGGTGTTAATTACAATATGAAAGGATTCAGAGGTGCTGGGCAAAGATCATGGTCAGGAATGTGGAGTCCACACTGGGCCCTCTTCAGTGGTACTTGCGTCGTCGCTCATGTTCTGGAGTTAGAAAGGCAAAATTGTAAGTTTAAGTTACAGTGAAAGCACAAGATGAAAGGGAAAGCATCAGGCTAAAATCATATAAAGCCATCCTGAGAATTTCTCCCAGGAAATGACCCTGAACCTGCCTGCCAGCATCTCAGCAGAAATTGCTGACCTGGGGACATGAAGGCACCTCAGGTGCTCATCTGCCCCGTGGCCAGCCTCTTCCCAGGAGGAATGCCCACTCAGATAAACAGCCCCCAGAACATGTCCAGTCCTTTGGAGCCAGGTGCCACAGACAGGTAGGGGGATGGACACTGTCAGAAATAGCCATGAAACAAGTTAGTGGCCACCAATGATACCGTTTCTGGCATTTCCCACTGGACAAGCAAGCTCCTCTTGGGTCTCAGAACGAGGAATAGCTATGCTTCTCCAGAGCACTGCATGGTCACTGGATTGTACCACTCAACTTCCCTCTTTGCATGGGCTGCTAGGAAAATGAAGCCAAATATTCCATCAGCCTTTGGCAGAGCATGCAGTGTCTTACAGGATGCTTCCTAAGTATTACCTTTACCCCAGCTTCATCTTATTTTTCCTGTGTATTTTCTCTTTGCCACAATTTTCTCACTAAATATCCTAAAAACTATTATCACAAGTCCCTCCAATTCTTCAGCTGTCAGTGGAATGATAGACTTCTAAATCTGACAGTGAGCCAATGCCACCCTCTCATGGGAAACCCCACTGAAGACAAAGTAACCCAAGACACTTACTTAGTTCCTTATAAGAACGACAGTAGTTGAAAAGCACATAAGCTGCCAGCACCATAGAAACCCCAGCAACGCTCCCTTTCTTCACATTGACATACTTGTCGTAATACCTGTAGTAACCTGCAAACAAGAGAGGAGGTCACTGCCCTGCTTTGCTGTGAATGCAGTGCAAAGTCAAGTCTGGCTTAAATTCAGGGATCCAGACCTACTCTGGCTCTTTAAGCCACTAACCCTACATTCACGGGTTGATAAAGGGAAAAGCACAAATGCCCCAGAGTGTTGGGTCCCCACAAGCCCAGGAGAAGCTACGGCTAGGCCCACCTTAATTCTGCCCCTACCCTTTGGCCTTGATCTTGTAGACTTGGTTCAGCCTGTCAGCCTTTGATCCTACCTCACCCTCACTCCAGCCCTGGGAAACCCTTACCCTAATTCTGAATGAGAATCCAACCCCTAATAAGGGCCCCTTGGGGAGGAAGGCTTTGTCTATTAGGTGCTCCCACCAGTGAGGAAACAATCTGCCCCCTTGGGGCTCATGGCATAGTAGATAGAAAAAGACTGAAATGATCATAGAAGGTCACAGTTTACAACAGTCAGGGATGCCATGAAGGAGCACTATAAGTGCCACGCTCAACTCCACTGAGGAGTCAGGGACTATTGTACTGTGGGGAAATGATAGAGTATTCTAATCTGAGGGCAAAACTGAGGAAAGGCCTCAGGGCAGGAGGAAAGATGGCACATAAAAGACGGCCACAGGGAGGCCAGAATTTAAAACAAAAACACAGGAGGGGAGCCCCTGAGGGGCTGGAGAACATGCAGGCCCCATGGGATAGATGATGTGGCTCTTTATTCTTGGAACATGATATGGGTTCCAGAGGACTGATCTGACTAGCTGTGCACTTTAAAATGTACAGACATGAAGGACAAAGTATTTCAAATATTCATCATGGAAGTTTTGCCTGGCAGGGAGATGAGCATTATACTTTAGACTGATGTCCACTATGTTTCATTACCTCTTAAAGAAGTCTAATGATGTGAAAATGCTCATAGACATTTCTCTAAGATGAAGGTAATGGTACTGATTCCAAGCAACAAAAATCATTTTCTTGGCTGAAATATCTCAGAGCCTTTATTACACAAATTAATTTAGAGGAAAAAGAAACCTGAAGAACCAGAGATTTGCTTTTATTTACACATGTCAAAAAGTCTCTGACCTCTTTGAAACGCTCCACCAATGCCTTTAGGGGTAAAATCCCGCATCATTATCCAGCTTGGCAGCTCCCCTATTTTGACATCCATGAGTCTCTTCTCCTTCAATGGTACTGATTAGGAAAAACAAAAAAATACACATACTGAAAAATCTCCCAGTAATACAAATAGCATCCTTTTATGTCACTCATTTCAACCATTCAATAAAGGGGCATTCAATAATGTTACTATACAGAGGCTGGACATAAGTAATATTATGAATAAACATGTCATACCAAATTCACTACTTTAAAGGCAGAGCATATACTGGTGTAGTGACAGATTTATTAATAAACAGGATTTTGAATAACACCTTGCTGGGAATAACTACGTAAAAAGAGAATTAAGGGCCATGAGGAAGAAAGAAAGTGGGGGACAGAATAGAAACATTACTGCAAAATTAATATTTACATATATTAGCTCATTTAATCTTTAAAGCAAGTAGTTGATGCCTTTACAAGGTTTTGGTGGCAGCGGTGGTGGGTGACTCAGAGAAGTTGGCCAAAGTCACACAGCATATTTCAGTGAGAGTCTGCAGACTGGACAAGAAGGGCTCCTAGTTGAGGCCATACTGTATACATCTCTGGACTTAAGAGCAAAATAGGAAGGGGAACCTGGGAGAGGAGTGGAGCTGTGAGTGTCCGGATGCTCATGAGGGAATGGTCTCCCTTCCCCCATCCTCCCCCAGAGGTCAACTTTAAAAAGCTGCTTAGTAGGTGTCCTATTCAGGGCAAGAAGTCAATTACTAAAGTCCCTTCTTAAAGATGAACAGCCACTGGAAGAGCCAGACTAAATCACTCCAAGGTTTCTTTTCCATTTTGAGGATCCAAGGAAAGACTAATACTCCCTAAAGACCAGCCTCAAGAGCCCACTGAGGGAAATCCCACAGGTTTCCTGACCTCTCAACCTTTAACAAGGGCAAAGGTTGTCAGGCCATAAAGAGAAATTTGAGGCTTAACAGCAGCTTCTAATCTGCTACAGGTCGTCTGGAGAACCTGACCCTTGGCCTTGATGGACAAGACTGAGTGCTCGTCACAACAGGCCACAAGTGACAGGTGGAGGCATAAGCCTATGACTTGCATGCATGGTTTAAGGGTCATGGTTGAGGCTATCTGTCCCAAACAAACTGCCCCAACCTTCCACCTAGATTCATCCAACAAACATGGAGCACCTACCATATGCCAGGTAGCACACCAAGCACTGTGGGTACAATACTGACTGCAGACGAGAGCCTTGCTCTCAGGAGCCAATATTCTATGAGGGAAGACAACCATCTTATATCCATTCATCTTCCTGGGCTCACCATACACCATACCCTTTGTTTCTCATATGCAACAGAATTATTTTCACTGAGTGCCTTTGCATTTGCAGTGTCCCTGGTTCATCACAAGGCTATCTCAACTTAAATATCATCTCCTAACAGGCCTCCTTCCCTGCCTTCCTTAAATGCCAGCACTTCCCTTCAATATAGTCTGTGAGCTCATTTCCTCATCTGTAAAATGGTTTATTACAAGGATTGAATGAGAATCTACATAAAAGTATTTGGAACAGTGCTCAGAATGGCAAACTGTTATTATTACTATTACTACTGAAATCTCATTAAGGTCTACATGAAACTTTTTTTTTTAATATGTCTTTATTGATTTCAGAGAGAGGAAGGGAGAGGGAGAAAGACAGAAACATCAATGATTAGAGAGTCATTGGTCGGTTGCCTCCTACACGCCCCCTACTGGGGATCAAACCCACAGCCCAGGCATGTGCCCTGACCAGAAATCAAACCTCAATCTCAATCTCCTGGATCCTAGGCCGATGCTCAACCACTGAGTCACACCAGCTGGGCATGATTAGTTTAGTAATCTTTATGAAATGTCAGTCTCAAATGAATATATGTTCCAAATCTCTGCTGGAGAGTTTAGTGTGAATGACATTAAACTCAACACCAAACATCCTCCAAAAATAACCTTTACCTTTCTCTGTATCTTGCCTGTGCTTATTTTTAGAAAAGTTTAATAAGTACGTATCTTACATCCCAGGTTTGTCTTTACTTGAATGGGTAGGCTTTTAGTCCAAGGATTACTATATCACATTTCTTCTTGCATAATAACATAGTAATACCTTTGCTACACTCTCAAAGCCTTCTTGCATGCAGTAAGGAGTGCAAACATGTCATTCTAAAACCAACTCTGGCTTTAGCCCGGCCGGGCATGGCTCAGCGGTTGAGCGTTGACCTAGGATCCAGGCAATTGGGGTTCGATTCCCGGTCAGGGCACATGCCTGGGTTGCGGGCTCGATCCCCAGTCAGGGGGTGTGTGGGAGGCAGCTGATCAATGACTCTCTCATCATTGATGTTTCTATCTCTCTCCCTTTCCCTTCCTCTCTGAAGTCAATAAAGATAAATTTTTAAAAAATAAAATAAAACCAACTCTGGCTTTAAATATGGAATTTTGATGGGGAGTGGTGATGAAGGTATAGATGGAACTAGAATAGCACAATGTTGCTAACTGCTGACACTGGGTATGAGTACAAAGTTACATTATTCTGTTCCTTTCTATTCTAAATCTTCCATAATAAATGTTTAAAAATGCTTTTAAGAACAGAACTATGTTGGGAGAAATATGCAAAAAAACCCCACAGTATTTTAAATCAAAGTATTTTTGACTGCTATAAGGCTAGCGGCTCAAAAAAAAATCAGGCCACTTCTGGGCCCACTGAAGCTATTTTTTTCACACTCACTAAAAACACATTCTGCATTATCATGACTACATTCAGGAGCTGGCATGGAGCCTTGGCATACTAGAGAAAAAAAGCCAACAATTTAAAACTTATTTTCTACATATTTATATCTCTGTACTATGAAGACAAAAGAATTTCCCTAACCAAAATTAAGAAATGTATAAGCACAGGGAGAAAAAATCACATTAGTTTTAAGGAAAACAAGTACACCACCATCACAAAATTCCAAGGGACAATCAGATTCATTAGAGATACATCTACACTTATTCTAAGAATTTCTCTTTTAGTGGAAGACAAAGGCCTCAGTCCTTGGCAGCCATATTGGAACCCTCCCTCAACAGCTGTGCAGTGAGTGCTACACATCCCTCTGCAGCCACTGGTTCACACCAGTAGTGTGTGGTGATCACAGAGCAGACTCTAGAGTCCAGTATTCTGAGTTTTGTGCCACTTTGTAGCTGTATGTCCTTGGGCAAGTTACTGCCCTCTCTGTGCCTCAATTTCCTCCTTTGTAAGTACCCACCCTGGTACTTGGCTTTAGGTACTGTGTAAATGGGAATTACTATTATTTGTCTTTCTATGAGCCAGCTGAAGGTGGGAGCATCCACACACACAGTTCCTGGTCATGACACACTTTCAGTGAAGATTGTGGAAGGACCACAAGTATGGCTTGATTTTATGATTTCAAGAAGCATACTGTTGCCCGGCCAGGCGTGGCTCAATGGTTGAGCGTCAACCTAGGACGCAGGCGATCAGGGTTCAATTCCCAGTCAGGGCACATGCCTGGGTTGCGGGCTCCATCCCCAGTCAGGGGTGTGTAGGAGGCGGCCAATCAATGACTCTCTCATCATTGATGTTTCTATCTCTCTCTCCCTCTCCTTTCCTCTCTCTGAAATCAATAAAGATATATTTAAAAAAAAAAAAAAAGGAATACTGTTGTCTTAGCCAGTTTTGCTCAGCCTGCGGATGGAAGGGTTTTGGGTTCGATTCCAGCCAATGGCACACGTACCTCAGGTGCAAGCTCGATCCCCTGCCCAGACAAGGCCATGTGCGGGAAGCAACCAATTAATGTGTCTCTGTCATATTGATGTTTCTGTTTCTCTCTCTCTCTTCCTCCCTCCCACTCTCTCTGAAAAGCGATGGAAAAAATATCCTTGGGTGAGGATTAAAAAAAAAGCAGCATACTGTTCACTTATATGAAGAGGCATGGAAATGCCAAGTGTTTTCTAGGTACTAAATCCAACCCAGGGGTTTGTAGGTTTTGCAGGCCACATAAGGCCTCTGTAACAGTCTTTTTTTTCCTAAACAGATTTTTAAAAAACATAAAAACCATCCTTAGCTCACAGACGAAAACAGGCCTCATGAAATCCAGCCTATTGGCCATAGTTTGCCAACCGCTGATCTCCTCTATTGCTATTAATTCATACTTTTTTCATCATTTTATTTGCTAATGAACTAGAAGCTTTATCCTCTGGCAACAGACATCATCTACAAGATCATCCGTATTTAAGAGACTTGGACTCCAATTCCTTCTCCTAGAGTGATGCTGAATGGGCCAGATGTGAAAGGACCATGTCCAAAGGTCAGAGTTTAAGCTGGGATAAGCAGCACTCGCCTGTGAGCCAGGCAGTGTTCCAAGTACCTTACATGTACTAAATTGTTAAATCTTTAGTCCATAGTGCTCTTCACAATAACCCTCTGCTTAAGATGCCAAGTCTCAATGCTTCCTTTTCACATGTTGTCTTAAACAACAAAACCACCTATGGATAAATATTCTCATGCCCATTTTTACAAATGGGAAAAACAGGATCATTCTCATCATTTCTGATCCCCCTCTTCATTTCTCCAGCCTGAGATTGAAAATACAGAAACTGGGACAAGACACACAGATTAATCAAAACTCTGCCACTATCATGCTGTGTGATCTCAGGCAGGCCACCTCACACAGGATCAACATTCCTGGCACTGACTTCTTGAAAGCTACTGTGAGAAGATCTAGGGATTATACATGGTTTCCCTACTATTTAAAAAAAAAAAAGTGTGCACAGTCCAGTGAGTGTAGAAATTCATACATACATGTCACCGAAATGATTGCTAGTCCTAAAATCATCCTTGTGATTCACGCTCAGTTTACCACGAGGCCCCAAATTCCTAGGTTTGAATCCCAGCTCAGTCCTCTCCCCAGTTGTGACCTTGAATAGGTCACTTCATCTTGGAAAGCCAATTCAGCGCATAGTAAACATATATGCGTCTACCCTTTCGTTGTGTCAGGCACTGTCCTAGGCATTAAGCTTCTCCGGGAGCTTAATTTGAGCTTCAACTTTCCAAAGAAGGATACAGTCTCCATGTAGGGTTCAAGTGCAAAGCCCCTGGGTAGCGGCGGGGTCGAGAGCAGCTATTCCTTAGCGAAGAGAGGAAAGGAGTCCCGAGGTGGCGCATTCCCCAGCCCCGAGGCGCGTCGCCCGGCTGCCCTCGCCCTCACCCTCCCGCGACAGCCCGGCGGCGCGGTCCGGTGAGCTGAGAAAGGTCGGACGGCGCAGGACCCTTGGCAAAAAGTCCAGAGCGCCTCGGGTGAGGTCGCGGCGAAGGGCCTCAGCGAAAAACAGCAGGCTCTGCAGCTCCCTCCCCTCCCAGAGTGTGTTTGAGCCCCGGACCCTGGCTCCAGCTTCCAATCTGACGGCCCCGAACCGGGTCTCGGTACCTACCCACTGACGCCATCTTGGAGTCCGGGGCGTCCGCTCTGCGAGCCGCGCGAGGACTGCTGGGTAAGGCGCTCGCGCCCCGGGGTCACGGAAAACAGAGGCTCACGGGAAATAGGTCGCTGTTGGAGGAAGGCTGCGAGTGCTCCACTGGGTGAAGGCGAGGTCTTCGGAGAGCAAAGCACCCGGACTCCTGCAGTTGGAGGCGGGGGTAAGGGGAGTAGGGTTCAGCTTGGGCTCCCTGTCCTAGGAGGGAATCAAAAAATGGGAAGTGAAAGTAAAAGTGTATCCTGGCTTCCTTACTCTGTCACCTTAAATTTATTATAAAAAGTGCTGGGAGCATATTAAGATCCTTACAACTGTACTGGATGGGAGGTGAGCTCCGATTCTCAAGGAATTCCCAGTCACCAGGAAAAGTTGTGTCCATCCAGGTTTAAACTGCGAGTAGGTTTGATTCAAGAGTACCCATATGTGTCCCAGCTCTAGCCTGGGCTCTAAGTACAGAGGTATGCAAGCCCCTAGGAGTTCACAGCTCCAGCCCTTCTGTTTGCCAGTTATTTTCCAGGCACAATGATGCCTGATCACCTTCTATTATTATTTTTGGAAAGGCTACGTTAAGGGTTGCTGGTCAAGCAGTCCTGACTTGGGTGTGATTCAATACCCTGAATCTCAGTTTCTCTGTAAAACAAGGATGTAATGCTTACCTGGCATCCTTGTGGTAGGAATTAAATGAAATAATGTGTGTGAAAATAAAGGATTAAGAACTGGGTAGATTGTAGGAATTGGACCAGTAAACTGATGAATGTAGAGATTCATACATACATGTCACCAAAAAGTTACGAAACTTATCAGCCATTTATTCATTCACCAAACACATACTGGTATGTATTGGGCACTAGAGACATAGAAATCAGTCAGACATGGTCTCTGAGCTCTAGGATCTCTGGTATTGCGCAGGAGACAAATGTGTAGATCGGTATGAGCAAAGTAATAGATGTGTGCATAGCAGGGGGCCAAGGCCTTTCAGTGAGAGGAAGGCCTGGGAGGACCTTATCTGGGCTGGTTTTTTGAAAAAAAATGAAGAGGTAGTTATTAAGTGAATAAAGTATCCAAGGGCATACCAGGCACCAGGACCTGCAGAGGCATAAAGGACTAGAGCCATGTGATGGGTTTGGGACAGAATGGCGTCAGTTGGGGAGTTCATGTTTAACAGGTACAGAGTTTCTGCTTGGGATGATGAGAATGTTCTAGAAATGGATAGTGGTGATGGTTGCACAACGTGAATTGACTTAATGCCATCAAATTGTACACTTAAAAATGGTTAAAATGGTAAATTTTGTGTTATATAAATTTTATCACAATATAAAAAATAAAAGGTGATGGAGATAATATGAATCTGGAGAGGCAAGCAGGGTCAGAATACAAAATGCTGTGAATTCTGGATGGACACAACTTTTCCTGGTGACTGGGGGTGAAGAGTGGAGCTTACCCTAAGGGCAATGGGGAGCCAGTGAGGGTTTAAGAAAGAGAGTGACAGCCCGGCAGGGCGTGGCTCAGCTGTTGAGCATTGACCTAGGATCCAGGAGGTTGAGGTTCAATTCCCAGTCAGGGCACATGCCCGGGAATTGAATCCTCAGTCGGGGGCGTGCAGGAGGAAGGTGATCAATGACAACTCTCATCATTGATGTTGCAACTCTCTCTCCCCCTCTCCCTTCTTCTCTCTGAAATCAATAAAGATGTATTTTTTTAAAAAAGAAAGAGAGTGACATGATCAAATTTACATACTTGAACAATAACCCAGGCTGCTGGCTAGAGAATAGGTAGAAGGAAAGGTAAGACTGGAGGATGCAGGCCAGCTACGTAGGAGTCACAGTTCTACAGGATGCTCATGTTAACAAGTATTGATTGCTACTCTGTGCCAGGCACTGAAGATCCTTGGAAAACAAAGCAAGTAAAAATCCCTGTTCTTGTGGAGCATTTGCTCCTGAGGAGAGAGGGACAATAAACAGGTCAAGTCTATAGTCAGGATGGGCTAGGTCTGGCTGCAATAGAAAAACGCCTCCAAATCCCAGGGACTTATAAAAAAAAAATGTTATTTTTTACTGACCCTGCATACCCATCACAGGTAGTCAAGGGACTCTACTTATACTCACTCGGATATCCAGGCTGATCAGCAGCCACCATCTCAAACAGTTGACTCAGTTTAGAGACTCATCCTGCCCATCAGCATCCAGGCCTGAAGGTGCACAGGTACTTCCACACACATTCATTGGCCTGAATTGGTCACGTGGCTTTAACTCCCAGAGAGGCCAAGAGTGCAAAGCCATCTTCTGCTCCAAAGAAGGGAACCTGAGAGAAAGGGAAATGACCATGACCTTTCCATTATGTCTGATGGTGATAAGTGGGGAAAACTAAAGCTGGGAAGGATAAGGAAGGCCAGAAGAAGAAAGACAGTTGTTTTAAATAGAGCAGGCCTTGAAGAGGTGACACGTGGCAAAGGCTGGTGGGGTTGCGGAGGGAGCCACATGGGTGTCAAGGGGGGCAGCAAATGGGGCATGTTGTCTTGTTTACAGAAGGGAAGCAATGGAGAGCAGTGGGCAGACACATTAAGAGGGCAGATCACTCAGGGCTTGGGGGTAGACTGTTTGATAGGCAGTTGTGGGGAGGGGTCAAGCAGACCCCAGGTATTCTGGCCTGGGAGAAAATGCGGCATAGAACCATCTCTGAGGTGGAAGCAACTACACCAGCACCGTCCCATAGAAAGTTCTGTGGTGATGAAAATGGCCTATATCTGTGCTGTCCAATTCAATAGCCACTAGCCACATCTAGCTTTTGAGTCCTATTTATTTAATTTTAATTAATTAATTAGTGACTACCTATTAGCTATTCCACATTTTAAAATGTAGGTTTTATTATTATTGAGGTATGGTGAATTCAACAGATCAGAAGTTGATTGCCATTGAAAAGACAGAGAACAGGGGAAGTACCAGGTGGGTCAGAAGGCAGAGGGAGGGAGAGGAAAATATGGGCAAGAGCCTTTATTGTGGTTTTCTTGGGACAGAATGGTTGAAGCAGGGTAAACAGGATTAAAATTGGCAAATTTGAATAATTTCAGGGAGCTCTAGTGTGTAGGTGCTAGGGTGATTAGGGCAAGTGGCCTGGAATGTAAGAATCTATAAAGGAGGTAGTTGGGGTATGGGCTCAGGAATGGTTAGTTTGCATTTGAAGTGTTCAAGGCTTGCTGGTAGGTTTGTTGTTCGAACCAAACTTGGAGATTTTGAGGCCACAATGGAGCTGGGTCACAGATAGCAGACAGCAGCAAGGGCAGTCTTGGTTAGAGCTGTCTGCCTCTAGGTACTTTGAAGACTATACAGTTTTCTTCCCTATTTAAGAAAGAGCCCAATTATGAAAACCAGAAGGATTTGTGGTTATGTGAAAATCAAGAGTCCAAACAAATCCCAGGCTCACCATGACCCATGATTTCTAAGCCCTAGCCATTCATCCTCAGAAGGCAACAGAGACAAGAGAGGGATATTACACCCTCTGGTCTTGAAGCTCAGACTCAGGGCAACAGGAACTCTCATACATTGCTGGTGGGAATGCAGTATGCTACAGCATACTGCATTTGGAAGACGCTGATGGTTTCTTATAAAGCTAAAATACTCTTGCCCTGGCTGGTTTGGTTCAGTGTTTAGAGCATCAGCCTGCAGACTGAAGGGTCCCGGCTTCGATTCTGGCCAAGGACACATACCTTGATTGTAGGCTCGATCCCCAGCCCTGGTCGGGGCTCATGCAGGAGGCAACCAATCAATGTTTCTCTCTCACATCAATGTTCCTCTCTCTTTCTCTCTCGCTTGCTCTCCCACTCTTTTTGAAAAGCAATGGAAAAAATATCCTTGGGTGAGGATTAAAAAAATAAATAAAATACTCTTACTATATAATCCTTGGATCCATATGATATAGTCACACTCTTTGGTATTTACCCAAAGGAGTTGAAAACACATCTACACAAAAATCCAAACATGGATGTTTATAGCAGCCTTTTTCATAATTGCTGAAACTTGGAAGCAAACAAGATGTCCTTCATTAGGTGAATAGATAACTAAAATGTCGTACAGCCAATGGAATGTTATTGAGTACTAAAAAGAAATGAGCTATCAAGACATGGAGGAATCTTAATGCATATTGCTAAGTGAAAGAAGACAATCTGAAGAGGCTACATACTGTGATTCTAATTATATGACATTCTGGAAAAGACAAAACTTTGGGGATATAAAAAGATCAGTGGTTGCCAGGAGTGGAGGATAGATGAGTAGGCAGAGCACAAAAGGTTTTAAGAGCAGAGAAATTTCTCTGTATGATTTTAATACAGGATGGATATTTGTCATTATACATTTGTCCAAACCCATAGAATATACACCAACTGTGAACTCAGAAGTCAATTATGGACTTTGGTGATTATGATGTATCAAAGTAAGTTTATTCTTAAGAAATGTACCATTCTGGTTAGCAAGGTTGATAACAGGGGCAGGGGATATATGGGAAATCTCTACCTCCCTCTCAATTTTGTTTTAAACCTAAAACTGCTCTAAAAGTAGCTTTAAAAAAATGCATGAAATACCAGCCAAAGGTTGCAGCTGATATTATCTCTCGAGAAAGAACTTGAGCTGCAAGATAGTAGGCAAGGTTTTCTTTCCAAGTTAACTGCCTGGGTTTTGTAGAAGCATTCTGTTCTCTATATTTTCTTTCTCTAGTTCTTGAATTATTTCTTTATAC